CAAAATCTTAACCCACTTAGAAACCTTAAAAGCCAATATCTGTTTTTTGCAAGAAACTCACTTGTCTAAACTTGACTCGCTTCAATCCAAATCTTTCACCCATATATTTTTAGCAAGTTACAACAGGAAACAGAGAGGAGTCGGTATCTTAATCCACAAAAATATAAAATTCACTCTTAACTCTATAGTAGCAGACCCAGAGGGGCGATACATTATTATAAATATCACAATTACAAACTACCAAGTCACCCTGGGCAATGTGTATGGTCCAAACTCCGATAACCCAGTATTCTTCCATCAACTTTTCACACACTTCATTTCTTCCCCACCCCCAATCATCATGGCAGGAGATTTCAACACAGTACTAAACCCCCCAATGGACAGATCCCGCACAACAAATACACCACGTGTCTGGCACTCCACAGAAACAATCTTGCAGTTTATGAGTGACTATGGTCTTGGAGACTGCTGGAGGCTCCAACATCCCAACCACAAATAATTTTCCTTTTTTTCACCAGTTCATAATTCTTACTCACGCATTGATTACTTTCTGACAAGCAACTTTTTTTTTTCAGACATCATTGAGACAAAAATCCATCCCATAACAATAAGTGACCACGCACCAATCTCGTTAACACTGAAATCAACACACAATAGCCCAATTAAATCATTCAACAGATGGCGCTTTAACACCTCTCTCCTAGCAGACAAGGACTTTGACCAGTTTCTCAGGAGAGAGTGGGCAGTATTTCTACAACTGAATGACTCCCCGGAGACCTCTGCATCTGTGCTGTGGATGACAGGGAAGGCGGTGCTAACATCTCTCATTATATCATTCTCAATCAACAAAAACAAAAAAGAGAAACAACAACAAACAGATTTAGAAAACAAAATACGAAGACTCGAAAAACTGAATATCATACATACAACTGAAGCGATCCAAAAAGAATTAATGATAGGCAAAGCAAAATTAAATGAAATTATTAATAAAAAAACTGAATTTCTCATGAAAAAACACAAAATGGAACATTTTAAACATGGCAATAAAACAGGCAAATTCCTGGCTAATCAGTTGAAAAAAAACAAGGATAAAACAACAATACCTGCTATCATAAACTCAGCAGGGAAGCCAACGTCCTTACCAGATGAAATCAATAAAACGTTTCAAACCTTTTACAAAAAATTATACTCATCAGACCTTAATTCAAGACCCCATGATATCCATGCATTTCTACAATCCATAGATCTTCCTACATTGACAGACGCCCAGACTTCCCAACTGGATGCTCCAATAGATGAAAAAGAACTTCTCTCCGCACTAAAGCACATGCCTAACTACAAGTCCCCTGGCCCAGATGGCTTCCCTGCTGAGTTTTATAAACATTTTTGGGACATCCTCTCTCCACTCTTCACCCGCATGCTTTACGAATCTCAGATAAACTCCACATTCCCTCAAAACATGAATACCGCTTCTATCACTGTAATACTTAAACCTAATAAAGACCCCCTGCACCCCTCAAGCTACAGACCCATCTCTTTAATAAATGTAGACATAAAAATCATCTCAAAAGCACTGGCACATAGACTGGAGAGAGTAATCCCATCAATTATCCACCCTGATCAAACTGGTTTTATAAAAGGCAGACAATCATCAACTAACACACGCAGACTGTTGAATCTCATTCATCACACATCAATATCCAATAGAAACAGTATTATAGTCTCCCTCGATGCTGAAAAGGCTTTCGACAGAGTACACTGGCCGTTCCTGTTTGCCGCATTGGGGAGATTTGGCTTCGGGGAGTCATTCATAAACTGGATAAAATTATTCTACAGTTCACCTTCTGCATCAATTATAACCAACGAAATAACATCAGAAAGATTCACACTACACAGAGGTACAAGGCAGGGCTGCCCACTCTCTCCCTTCCTCTTCACCATATTCATTGAACCACTCGCTGCAGCTATCCGTCAAAATCAATCCATTATAGGAATTCAAACCCAAAACACTCAACATAAAATTAGCCTCTATGCCGACGATATTCTCCTGTTCCTACACAACACATCTTCAATAGAAATCACAGTCAATCTTATAAATTCATATTCAAAAGTCTCTGACTACTCAATAAACTGGTCAAAGTCCTCAATACTTCCACTAAAAAGCAGCTGGGATGTGGCTGCCTGTAATGTACCAATTCCTGTCACTGATCATATCACATACTTGGGCATACACATTTCCCCCAGGCTGTCAGAGCTATTCAGACTCAACTTCACTCCACTACTCCAAACCCTAGATAACGATCTTCAACGCTGGACAAATCTCCCACTATCACTCATAGGTCGAATAGCCACAGTCAAAATAAGTTTGTGAAACTACAAAGAATCTTTAGGCAACACAAAATCCCTGTGTATTTCAAACCTTTCAACACGTTAAGACAGAAATTAGTGCATCCCAAAGACAAAACACCCAGACACAAACAGAGCAATGTGGTGTATTCAATTAAATGTAGTGAAGAGGAGTGCACTGACCACTATATTGGAGAAACCAAACAAACTCTACAGAAACGACTTTACCAACATCGTAGAGAAAACTCTAGTGGGCCACAGTCGGCTGTTCATCTCCACCTCAAGGCCTCCAACCACACGGTGGATGACACAGAGGTTAAAATTCTGGCTCGGGAGAAGAATTGGTTTGAGAGAGGGGTGAAAGAAGCCATTTTTGTGAGGATCCCAGCAGACAATAGGTCTGTGACATGCTAAGGAGTTAGGGTCGTTAGCCTCAGCAGGGTCGTTAGACCTGCTCCCTTCTACATCAAGCAGACCGTAGATTGTTTACGAGTTAGTATCAGGATTAGGGTGTGGCTTACCACACCCATAGGTTATAAATCTCCAACGCGCGGTCCGAGAATTCATTCCCTGAAGAAGTCCCCAGGTTGAGGACGAAACGTCGGGAAAACTTGCTAAGAAGTACAGATGATGGGTGAGAAACCTTCCTTTGCTTTCACAGTCAAAATGTCAATACTTCCCAAGGTCAATTACCTATTCTCCATGACTCCAACCCACCCGCCCCCAAAATGGTTCAAGACTCTAGACTCAATCATATCAAAATTCTATTGGAAAAACAAAACACCCAGAATCAAATTATCCACCCTGCAAAAATGCAAAACTCTCGGAGGCCTCGAAGCACCACACTTTTTCAACTACTTCATAGCCACACACATGCAATACATTTACAAATGGACCCACCCTACAAACTCTGATAACACCTGGTTAGATATCGAACAAACACTCTGTCAAAACACCCTACTCCAAGATCTCCCTTTCCTCAGCCAAACCATCCGAAAACACACTCTCTTCACCCCAATATGGAACAACCCGGACTTCATCAGCAATAATAAACCACTTCACTTCAGCACATGGATCGAACACGGCATCACACACCTACACCACATCTTCTCTGACAACACTCTCACCTCATTTCCTCTTCTGGTCCAGAAATTCGGCATCGGGGATTCCTCCTTTCTTCAATATGCACAATTAAATTCATCTCTAAAGAAGAACCTAAATCTAAATAACCTAAATCTCTCCTTACCAACTCCTCTGTCAGAAATATTAAATATCCCCACCCACAAAAAATTATTATCTAAAATTTATCATAAAATTCGACAGTCAGATATCAGTCTCCCACTGCCTCCCCTAAAATGGGAAAAAGACTTAGACCTAATCCCCGATGCGGATTTCTGGACCCAGATCTTTGAAAACATCTACTTCATGTCCCGAAATGCAAACATCCAATTAATCCAATATAAAATTATTCACAGATTCCACTACACGGGTGAAAAGTTACACAAAATGGGTTTCACATCAAACATATGCACACAATGCTCACAGAACGCACCAGATACATACCTGCACGCAATCTGGGCCTGTTCACCTGTTAGGACACTCTGGGATAACATTGAAACCACTCTCCCCTCCATCCTTGGCCGCCACATCCCATTATCACCAGCTCTCTGTCTGCTAGGAGACACAACTGCATTGAACCTCACACTCCCACAAACCCGCCTTCTGCTTATTGCCCTCACAATCGCCAAGAAGACAATCCTCATAAACTGGAAGACAAAAAAAACCATACACATTGCCCACTGGAAGAACCTACTCACAGAATTCATATCATCTGAACTTTCTTCAACAACAAATACACATGATCATCTCAGCGAAAACCTCTCCTGGCTAACCCTGATAGAAAGCATCACTTAAAAAAACAAAAACATCTTAACCACCTCACATACCACTCCACATAGACCTCTCCCTCTTCGTCTCACTTCATCCTCTCATCTCTCCGTATACAGTATACATTTGATATAGTAAAACAGTATACATATGATAAAATAATACAGTAGAAATAGGATATAATAATAAAGTATGGTATGATGGTGATAAAGTATAATATTGTATAATAGTATAACATTGTAATACATTCAACATATATAAACTAAAACTAAAACTAACATTCAAACCCAATGCGACTGTTTCCAACACTTTTTGCAACACTATTCAATAAATAGATAATACTCTCACACAACCCAGACGATAGTGGGGTGTCTGTTCTAGACTCGTCTGGCACAAAAGCCCCTCTATCTCTTTTAATGCAACACACACATGACACACAGAAAAAAAACACCAAAAACAAACAAACAAGTTTCCCTTTAGCCTCTCTCACACTGGAAAGACAAACATGTGGTTGTGAAATAAACAAAACAATTTATAGATGTCAGTATTTTACCTCAAGATTTGATTCTATTCAAAGAATCATGCCACAAATATGGGATATGTGAAAAAAAACATCGTTCCAATGTCGTGGCTTTATCCATCGCCACCTCAGCAGGAGCCAAGGGAGATGACTCGAGAGATTTTGCCAAGTTACTGAATTATAAAACAGTTCCTCGTAGAGCCGGGAGGACGTCATGTGGATTCAAAGCAGGTTTTTATGTACTCACTTGTGGAATATCTTGGCTCTTTTATCGCTTGAGAAGTTCTCCAGTTGAAGGGAGTCCTGGGTGAGAAAGGCGACAGCGAGGTGGAAATAGTTGTTCCACAGCTGATCCGGAAAAAACACAAGGGGAAAAATGAATCACACGGAGGAACTGGAGATGGCAAAGTGAAATAAACAAAACAATATGAAATTTTCCTGACAGATTCAACACTGGCTGCTATGGAATAATAGACATGGGACTGCATCTAGGACTGTGTCTAAATGTAGCATACATCTCCACATACATACTCTCTGGTTGTTTACCAAAAGTACCATTAAAGCTGGAGTAACCTAACTTAACTAGTGATTCTATTCTATCTATCTCTAGATTTATATGCATTTTTTTTTTTTTTTTTTTTGTGGGAGCCATAATTTGTTTTCATTTTACCGTAAATATGTGTGATTTTATAAAACAAGATCAATTCATTTAGAGCATATTATTAGTCTCAAATTAGTCTATTCTTTTGTATAGTAAAATGTTTATACTGAAGAAATCCAACAAAACACATTATTTTTATTAGATGCCTACTGTAATGACAGTTTTTAGAGTAATTACATTAAAACCAGCCGCAGCAAATACACGGACGTAAAAGGCCTTTTATCAATGCAGAGACGACCTTCTGACGCCATGCTGAGCTTTGTGAAGGTCTCTATTGTCTGTCACACCCTTGTGTCTTTCGCGTCTTGCATCTCTATGCCTGCATTTCTCCATTGTCTGTCTGTTCACACCTCCATGCCACTGTCACCACAGGGGATGGCGCCAACGCTCCCTATGCGCCTCCTCACCGGTGGCCCCCTCCCATCTGTTGTGGGCGTGACTGTCTTTCTATGTAAACAGGAAGCCTGAGCTCTGCGAGCCAGAGCTGGGTATGCTGCCTTTTGGATATGCTAGCTCTCCGCACGTGTGTTACAATAAACTTACGCTCCTGATTTAAGACAAATACTTTTGGGCTTTCTCCTTGCTTTGGGGTATACAATTCTATAACAATTTGGCGTTGCTGACATGTCTTGGCATGGATCCTTTCGGCGGGGACGAGCGGCCGCGTTTGGCCGACCTGGAAACAACACCAGCCTCTGCTCTATTTGGAGACAAAGGAGGGCGCGCTCGTCCGCGCATGGAAGGGATCTTTTGCCACACAAGACCAAAAAGAACCTAATTTGGTGAGTTTTGTCTTTTCATCTGCGTAACGAGCCCAGGGCAGCGCATAAGTGTACACGGGGATTTGTTTATTTATGTATTTTTGGGGTATTTCATGCATTGCCACAGCATAGACTGTGTGCGGGATTTTTTGGGGTCTTTTGTTCTAGATTGAAGCTAGCGGCTGCGTGTTAGTAATCGCTCAGTAAGCGACCCTGAAGATTATCTCTAGTGCCTTCAGCCAGGCCCGCTCCGTTTCAAGAACGCGCGCTCGTTGGGTATATAGAACCCACGGGGGGGGAACGGAGCGCCCCAAAGTGGGTAAGAGCAGGGAGAGACTAAGCGGGTTAGGCCCATTGTTCGTACGAGAAAATGGGGAAAAATCAATCTAGAAGATGCAAGCTATGGAGTGCTTGCCTATGGTGCAGGTCATCTGGCTTTTTTCCGATGGAGGCTCTATGTCTCCGAATCAATTACGCATCAAGCGTGATAATTTAGAAGAAGAAGGGAAGAAAAAATATACTTGGTTTTAAGAATATCACGGCAAAAGACGTTAGAGAAAGAAATATGTAAAAACAATAGCCCCTCCGCTTTTCACCGAAGCGGAGAACACACAGGCGGACACACACACACACACACACACATCCCACACACCCCCACACCCCCACCCTACCGCCCCTTTTTCCCCTACTAACAATAAGTGTGCACCCAAACAAGGCGTTGGGTTTTTAAAAAAATGAGCAGACTACTGTTGTCCCTTTTTCCTCTCCCTGTCCAGGTCTGTCGGCGCTTTTCCTCCGCGCTCTGTCCTCTGCCTCAAAGCCCCAGCCCCACGCCCCAACCACAGGCGGCGCTCACACCAGCTGAGACCCCGCGAGAAGTGGGCCCAAACCCGGGAGCAGAAGAAGACGTGGCGGAAGCAGATACACGCTCAGGAAACCGCAGAAGAAGAAGCGGGGGAAGCAGATATGTGAGACACCGACAACTGCCTTGGAGGCCAGAGACAAACTGCTCCAAATCCCGTGACTGTTCCCCACGGAGGGGGTAGCGTGAAACACAAAACGCACCCGCTGAAACCTCGTTGAAAGTTGCCCCCGCACCGCAAACAGAAGAAGCCAAAAGTACCGGCACGTTTGGTTATTCACCAACCCTCATGGACCACAGGCTAACGCTTTGGGCTACCTGGGCCTCCTGCGGACTTTGAGAAACTTCCACAGCCCGGCGGAAAGACTGTGTGCTCGACATGGGTCGAAGGACTGTCACCGGAGGAGGCGTTAAAGGCAGAGGCTCACACGGGGCCAGAGGACGGCAGAGGCGGGCGTGGAGGAAACACGAGCGACTGACCAAACCCGGGTTCACATTCGTCACCAAAGCGACCGCTCATGTAAGTTTGAACAAGAACAAATTGCAATTGGCACTTTTTAGAGATAATTCATGCTGAATTCCCGTAACATACGCTAACAATCTGTGGTGTAAAACTTAAAATTCTGGATGACTCCGGGGCAACAAATTCTGTGCTAAAAAGTGACAGCCTTTCTGTCTCCCCTAAAATGAGTGGCCGTTTCACATTCTCATTAGCAGCGTCGGGAGAGACGACTAAAGAGCAATTTACGTCACCGCTAACGTGTTTTGATTCTCAGGGCAACCAGCTTAAACATTCTTTTCTATATTCCCCATTGTGCCCGGTTAATCTACTAGGCCGAGACCTTATGTGCAGACTCAATTTAAATCTGCTCTCAACACCAAGCGGCCTACGGGTGGTACACGCTAGTGAGCTAGCAAATGCTCCATGTTTCACCGGCATGCACGAGGAGGCACCGGTCCCAAAAGTTAACTACCACTGGAAATTGACACCAAACCCTGAGATTGCTAAGTTATTAGCCACAACAGTGAATAGAGTTACGCCCGCACAAAATTTGGAGGTCAACCACGCGAACGACCTAAGCTGCTCTCTCCGGTCGTTCCCAGACAATAACTTAGAGTTTGAAAATTCATGGCTTCAGTGTAGTAAAGATAGGCTACAAACGGAGTATGTTTATTGGGATAGGCACCACGCTATGGTATCTGTGCGACTTAATGAGCAACAAAAACATTTTTATCGTGAAACAAAGGTGAAGTATTAAAGTTTGAGACTAATTTACATTTTTAATGAATCCGACCTGGCTTTATTGAAAAAGAAAAAATAAGGAAAATAAACATTTTTAAGGTGACAAGAGCTCATTAGAGATATAGGGGACACAATCTGTGATAAGCCCGAAATACAGACCACGTGGTAAACACTAAAGTTGGAAATGGATCCTTTTAGGAAAAATCTTTTAAAGCTCTGCAGGCTCTGAAAGTTGCAACAATAGAAATAGCTCATGAGACAATTGTAATTGGACATGGAAAAATATAACAAAGTTAAAATTACAGGCCTTCTGTGTTGTTATATGTTTGTGTGTGTTATATGTTGGTGTGTGTTATATGTTTTGTGTATGTTATATGTTTGTGTGTCATGTCAAAGTACACTACGTTGACCTTAACAAACTCTGGACCAATACTAACGTGGGGAATCGGCCTGTGATGTGACTGTGATGTGAGTGTGATGTGAGTGTGGTGTGAAATGAGGAGTGAAATGAGGAATGCTGAACGGAGAATGGAATAACAAATGTGTCTGTAATGTTTTAATGTGATCATGGAATAATTATTTTTTGTCAACAGCATACGGTGTAAGTACTAGAGATTCAAAGATAACAAGCTTTATTGAACAGGTGTAAAAGTGAGAGTACTCTGGGATGAGTACTCTGAGAAGAGTACTCTGCGGAAAGTACTCTGAGATGAAATGCCTTGCTGAAGACATTGGGAGTCCCTGCCTCTGCTGTTTGTCCTGACAGTGAGTCGGTCCAACCGCAGTGAGCTGTCGTTGGTTGAAGGACAACTTTGGTTTGTAAACTCACATTTAGGGGAGTATAAAATTAGAAACATACATTTTGTTGTTCTGTATTTGGCTACAGCCTCCGCCCTGATGCCACACACCGTCTGTCAATGCAGTTATGTTTTGCCCAATTGGAAAAAAGATTGACAAGCGAAAGTGGGCATTTTTTTGTGTTTTTTTTGTGGACTGATATTTCTTTTTCAGATGAGAGATAAACTACCCCTGCTCCAGGGATGACAGTAGTATGGATCAGGAGGAAATGAGCCTCCACTTTGGCACAAAAGCCCACAATATGAATTGAGGACGATCCGGGAGAAAAGCAACTGGAGATGAACGGAACAGCAAATCTACACACACACACTAGGTCTCCCTGACCCAACCTGGCCATTCACTCAGACTGTGGATGAGCGATGTGGGTGCATGCTGTCGGTACTTTTGCAGTCTCACGGAGGGCCACTGAGACCCACTGCTTACTTCTCAGCAAAACTCGATCCCGTGGCAGCAGGGTTGCCTCGCTGCCTGCGGGCTGTGGCTGCCGCTGAGAAAGCGGCCCTAGCATCACGTGACCTTGTGGGATACACTGAACTAACTTTGCTTGTGCCCCATGCTGTTTCCCTGATCCTGCTAGAGCAGAAAACCTCTCACCTTTCTGCGGCTCGTTGGCTGAAATACAACACGGTGCTCTTTGAACTCCCCAATGTCACGGTAAAAGATGCACACAGCTGAACCCCTCCTCACTGCTGCCCACGCCAGAGGAAGGGGAGGCACACTGCTGTATCGCCACAATAGAACAGATATGCACTCCCAGGCCAGACCTGAAAGAGGTGCCTCTGACTAATCCTGACTTGATTTTTTTTATACAGACGGAGCCGCGTCACGTGACAACACTGGGAAGAACCGAGTCGGCTATGCTGTGTGTTCTGATTTTGATACTATAGACTCTGGTAGTTTGCCCCACTACCATTCAGCACAAACCGCTGAACTGGTCGCGCCCACCGGGGCTTGTGAGCTGGC